TTATGTTCCAAGCACAGCGGCGGTAGATGGCGTGTGGTCCTGATTTTGGCCCCCCCTTCCTCCTCCCCTCCCCATACATATTTGTTCTCTTGAATTTTTTGAATGGGTATTTATCTCAGTTCAGCTCCTCTGTTAGATCTGAAAAGTGCATGTTATTGTAGAACTGCTGAATTGTTAAAAAAAAATAATTGCCATACGTGGCTGTGGAACTGTGATTAAAAGAAATAACTTTTTCTCTGTTTATGTTCCAAGCACAGCGGCGGTAGAATCACTGCTAGTTTTTGTATAGGCCTATTAACCAAATGAAAGGAAAGATTCAATGGAGTGATTAGTTTTCAATTTAGGCTTTTAAGACTATTGTCTGATGCGTTTTACTGCCTAGTTACTGAGGGGAATATCCAGGATTTAGTTACTTTTAATTCTGATTCGATTGGGACAGTCTTTCCAGATACTGAATCCAGATAAAAGCAAGAGAATTTAGGAGAAAAGATACTGTGTCCTTAAAAGGCTTTTGTAATTCACAAAGCACAACATCTAATGACTAAATTTGTTGTTAGAGCTTAAATAGCACCAAAATCTCAGAAAGCAGTATAAGCAGTGTGATCCTAAGAGGATTAGAAGAAGGAACACGAGAGCACAAGTTCACATGAGGAACTCAAAGCTCATGCAGAAAATGTTGTTTTAGCCCTAGCACAAACCCAGGGTAATTCCTTCTATAATGGGATGGGTAGGAGAAAACAGCTTAAATGGTGGCATTTCTGGAAGAAAATGGTTAAACATTTTTGTAAATAGCTTCTAGAGGAATCCTTGTTTTGAATTGATTATGTTTGGAAACAGATAGGGAATAATGTTAGTGTACATCCCTGCTGTCTGTAAGCAGACCTGTTGCTCTGTGGTGCCACGGGTGGGTTTATCTGTGGTTTCGTCTTGGTGCCACACAATTATTACTCGATTGATACCAGCCTCCCAATCTGTTCTGCAGCGTGGATGGGTGTTTGCTTTTTTTGGTGTAGCTGTTTCAGGATGTTGGTTTTGGCACTGCAGCTGGGAATTGCCTGTCTGGTGCAACCTGCTTGCCTGGGCCTTTTTAGAATTGGAGAGTCATAGAATTGTCTCGGTTGGAAGGGGCCTTTCAGATCATCAACTCCAACCATCAACCCAACGCTGACAAAAACCATCACTAAACCATGTCCCCCAGCACCACGTCTGCCCAGCTTTCAAATACCTCCAGGGATGGTGACTCAACCACTTCCCATAGAATTGTCCAGGTTGGAAGGGACCTTTTAAGATCATCAAGTCCAACCATCAACCAAACACTGACTAAACCACCACTAAACCATGTCCCTCACCATCACGTCTGCCTGGCCTTTAAATACCTCCAGGGATGGTGACTCCACCACGTATCTGGGCAGCCTGTTTCAATGCTTAATAGCTCTTTCAGTGAAGAAATTTTTTCTAATATCCAATCTAAACCTCCCCTGGTGTTTCCTCTTGTCCTATCACTTGTTACTTGGGAGAAGGTCTCAAGAGTTCATGTCTTCAGGTGCTGCTGTCCCAAGGAGATGATGTTGGGCATTGTACAGAGCATTTGGTGACAATGTCGTGGGGGGGGACTCATCAGGTGGGTCATTCTTGTGCAGAAAAACCTAGGATGGGCAAAGCTGGTGAGCACTGGCTGGGAGCAGCTCGCTTCCCACGCAGCAAAATCTCATTTCTTTTGAAGTGGAGGGGAGCAGTGTTGATGCTTCACCAGTTGATGCTGAAGGAAGGTGTTAGTCATCAGTCTGTGGTGAACCTCCAGCCCTTCTGAGATGACGGATCCAAACTCACAAGCTACTGTACATCCCCCAGTTGTACTTTATCAACTTCAAGGGCAGCTGGTGGATTATTTTTAAGTGTTACGTAGTGTAGCTGTTACACCTGGTCAATGGTTTAAGGTATATGAAGGTGAGAGAGAGGCTAAAATCAATAAATTATAGCTGTCCCCTGCATTGTTTCAAGGTATGTGCCAAAATGGCAAAATCCAATAGGGTAAATTTGGAAAGAAAACAGCTGCTGCTGAGGCGTTTGTGCTCAGTACTTCATTCTGAAGAAGGACATCGCCGAGTTCTCTAAATGTTTACGTGTCATTTCGAGCGCTCTTATTTCAAACTGGAGCCTCCAACCAATTAACATGAGTGAGGAATGAAGCGGAGTCAGTGAACCCTTTCTTTTCTCATTCTCTGCTCTCTTGAGTCTTTGCTTCCAGCTTCTTTCCGTGTCACTGCCCTGTTGCAGATAGAAAGCAGAGGACAAGAAGCCTCTTCCACGGATCAGACAGAAAGGTTTCCTTCTCTGGCTTCGACCATAAGGACAGCACTCGGAAGATTGCACAAGGGCAAAGGGGTGTTGGAAGGAGACAGTTTGGGCAGTGTCTACAGAAGAAAGCCTTTTTTTTCATTGAAGAAAATGGTTTATGTTTGTGCAATCATCCTTTTATTTATGTTTGCCCTGTTCCTTCCCCAATGAAATAACCCAAAGCCAGCGGCGTGCTCAGACCAGGGCAGCAGAGCCCTCCCCTGCCTTCCTCCGCGCACGGCTTTTATAATGATTTATTCTCTTCTTAAAAGGAGAACACAAATACTGCTCGGTTGGTGTGTTCTGGTTTTAAGGAAAATTCTCATTATAAGCAAGTGATGTTTGTGTACAGGATCTGTCGAGCAAGGTGATAAAGCTTTTCTCTGCTGGTCTGTGACTCCGGCTGTGGAAAAACAAACTTAGCTGGGCAAAGGCAAACCGTGGGGCTGGAGGAGTGGAGTTTTCCTCAGCCTATTTACATCATTTCTGCGGCATCAGTACAACTGAGCAAGGGAACAAGAGCTTGTTTGCAAATTCTTCCAATTCCTGGCATTCCTGCATTCTTCAGCATCCTCTGCAGCGCCTCTTGCACTCCCAAGGTTGCCTTTCTGCCCGCCTCAGTGGGGTGGTGGCATCTTCTAAGAATAAAATAAACCCAACTGTTCCAGCCCTTTTTTCATCTGGGTCCGCAAATGGCTTCAAATAAACCATTTCACAGAATGCTGTGGGGTTGGAAGGGACCTCTGGAGATCATCCAGTCCAACCCCCTGCCAGAGCAGGGCCACCCAGAGCAGGTCCCACAGGAACGTGTCCAGGTGGGTTTGAATGTCTCCAGAGAAGGAGACTCCACCACCTCCCTGGGCAGCCTCTTCCAGGGCTCTGCCACCCTCAAAGTGAAGAAGTTCCTCCTCATGTTTAGATGGAACTTCTTATGTTCAAGTTTGTGCCCATTTCCTCTTGTCCTGTCCCTGGGCACCACTGGAAAAAGACTGGCCCCATCCTCTTGACACCCACCCTTTAAGTATTTATAGGTGTTGATCAGATCCCCCTTCAGTCTTCTTTTCTCCAGACTAAAAAGACCCAATTCCCCTCAGCCTTTCCTTGTAAGAGAGATGCTCCAGGCCCTTCATCATCTCTGTGGTCCTCTGCTGTCCCCTCTCCAGCAGTTCCCTGTCCTTTTGGAACTGGGGAGCCCAGAACTGGACCCAGTGCTCCAGATGGGGCCTCCCCAGGGCAGAGCAGAGGGGCAGGATGACCTCGACCTATTGGCCACACTTTTCTTGATCCACCCCATCCTACAGGTTGAGCTTGAAAATTGCACATGAGAACGTTGTGTTGATCATGAGCCCCGAAAACTGTAGTTATTCTTTACTCCCAGCAAAAGTTTTCTGAACCCAGTTTACAGATGCTTTGTACATAGTTTAATCTAAAAATAGTTGGATAATAGTTTATTAGTCACTCATGTCCATCTGTCCCCTTCCCTTCTTGTTGAGTTGAGTGGGCGATGAGATTATTTCCTAACAAGAAGAGGAGTCTGGCAAGTATTTGTATGGAGAGCAACCACTCGGGGATATTGGTGGGAATAAAAATTGTTTGTCATTACTGAATAAAAATGGATAATACAGGGGATGGAGTTAACACAGACATCAAAATGTGTTTGCTTATACTTAACTATTTTATTATTAGATGCAGAAAATTGCTATTGGTATGTAAGGAAAATTACTAAAATGTAGGAGAACGTGAATTTTTTTTGATCGTGTTTATACTTAACTATTTTATTATTAGATGCAGAAAATTGCTATTGATATGTAAGGAAAATTACTAAAATGTAGGAGAACGTGAATTTTTTTTATTTTTATTTAGTTTTTATTTGGTTTTTGAAGATGGGAAAGATTTCTCTTGAATATTACACCAGGAAGATCTTTATTACATCCACGTTGCCAAATGCAGCCATCAAGTAGTATGAGCTGGGGTGGTTTCTTTTAATTACTGAGGTCACTGCAGGAGTTTGTGCTATTTGGATGCATGGGCACACCTGTGTACATAAATGGAGTTATTTAGTGCTGTATCTGCTAGGAAAACAGATTTCTTTTCTATTTTTTTTTTTACTGTTTTTTTTTTCAGTGGATATAGCCATTTTGGAAGTCATACCACGGGAATGTTGGTTTTTTTTTTTTAATTTGGGGCTTTTCAGAGTGTTTAGAAGTTGGTAGCTGAGGTTTATTTCCAGAAGGGAATTTGGTGTGTGCAGAAGATACTGTAAACTGCCTTCTTTACCCAATTAACTTCCCAAAGCCTTTTCTGGAGAGCAAAACCCAGACATCAGGATTTTTATACACAAGTTGTTTTGTTTGTCGTACGCTCCCGCTGAATGGGTGCGACTGTCTGGAGGTGTGATGGTACAAGTATTCATTTGCTGGGCTTATTTGTTCAAAAGTCAGCGTTTTGGGAGTGGATGAGGTGATGTGGGTAGCGACAGATAGATCCAAACTCCCATCTCTATTTTCAAAGCCAAAGGGACCGTGCACTGTGCACAAATTCGGTGGAAATCGCTCAATTCCTCTGACAGAAAAGGCTGTGAGAGCCACAAAGGCCCACACTTGATAACATTTTATTGTGTTAAGTGGTAATTCAAAATCATAAATATTAATGTTTCCTTCTCTGTCTTTTTATTTCCTTCTCAGCATCACCCTTCTGTGGCAAGAGGCACCTGTGAGGAAAACTTCCGCATATCAATGCACTGCCAATGGTAAGTTCCTTTTTAACCAGCTAAAGGCGATGTGGTTCCTTGTATTGCAAATACTATTTTTTAGAATAACCACTCTTTAATGGATTATTTCAATTTTTAAAGAAAGAAATAGACCATTATTCTGTTTGACAAAAATATTGCAATTGTACCTGGATTTTGCCCTGTGGAAAACGGGACAGCGTGTTCATTTGGAAGCGAGAAGTGTGATTTGAGAATAACAACAGCTCATCCTGTTGGTGACTGGTTTTGCTTCCTCAAAATTTTGGCCAAAAGCCTGGTTTGGGGCAAGCCGTAGCCGAGCCGAGTGCTCTGTTGCCCCCACTTGGGTGCTTCCTGCAGTTTGTTTCAGTACTAACAGCTTCTCCTATTAAAAGAAATAATATAATTATGCAGTGCCAGGTGTATTTTGCTTTAGTGTGTTTGGCAGCACGAGACTAGTGAAGATAAAATCTTAGCTCCGATAGAAAGGAGCTTGGTTGATGTGATCTTATTCCATCTCTGGAATGTTAAGGTTACAGAATATTGGAAGTTTGTATTTGTGGGCTGTCTTTATGGTTTATTTCTGCTTCCTGAGAGTTGTGCCAGATGGAAGGCAGAGGCGAGGTCTGGACTGGAATTTACTGCTCCAGCTTTGATCAAATTAAGCGGTTTTGGTGTCTTGTGTTGTCACAGTTGAGGTGTGCTGTGAGAATTGGTAATTGCAGCATTGGCCTTAAGAAATAAATACATAAAGTGCCGGCCTGAGTTTTGTATTTCAAGAATCTCTAGATCCTTGTGTTTGGGGCAGGAGTAAAGGGATAATATTTCGAAGGACTGGCTTTGAAAACTCCATTTGGAATCTGAGAGATGAGCTGGATACCATTGGTTTGTGCATGAGTGTGGATCCAAAGATTATGTAAATGAATTCTAGCTTCTCTTATACCTTTGCAACTCCACAGGCTTTGCCCCGTGAGCAAAAAATGACAATCCAAGGAGTCTGCTTGGGTGTGACTTTGAAATGTAGTAATTCTGGTGACTCTTGAAGACGTCATGGAACTGAACTATAATGCAACGTATATTTTGCACAAAATAAAGCAAATACAACTCTGAGATCAGAAGATCTGCACCAAATGTGTATGTCATTTAATAGCCTGAGTTGATATGTCTAAAGTTTCTGTTGATTTGGGATGAATTTCAGCTGGTGGGAAGGGATTCGTTGTGTGAGAAGGTGTGATTTTTAGCTGGTCGCTTACCCTGGTCTTTTCACGTTCCCAAACTGGAACTAGCAGCACTTTCAGCCTTTTCTGGGTTTTTTTTTGCATTTTCATTGTTGTTATTGACCTTTTTCCAACAAAAAGCTACTCTGATTTCTCTTTATTTTGTATTAGTTGAGCATGGGTTTAGTTATGATTTGAAATACAGGTCTGTATTACTGCTTCTCTTAAAAACGTGACTCATTCCATATTAACCTAGTCCTTATACTTCATAAAATTTTAAAATACTGAGAGACTGTACTTGAAATGTTGCTGCATTTTGTCCTAATTTTCCCCCTACAAATTATATTAGAAATTCAGAATTGCAGGGTCTCAAGGGCGTGCTAGTTGTTACAGCGATCGTAAAACATACTCAACTGTTACTTGTAGCAAAGTGAAATACTCCCCACTCTTTTCTTTAAGGGCTGCTTTTGGGCTATAAGTTGTTACATTTTATTATTCTAGAGATTTCTAAACAGTTCCTCATCTCTTAATTAACTTTGAAACAGTTTGAATGTAGATTTAAGAGACAAGCTAGACATGTTCTTCATCATCTCAAAAGTAATCATAACTTAATCAGGTTTATAGTAAAAAAGACTTATAGCGGGTTTTATTAGGTTGTTTTTCTGTCTGATGTTTGTAGACAAAGTATGGGCCAGAGGGTGGACCTTAAAAAAGCAGTTTGTGATGTTTTCCTGAACAGGACTTGGTTTAACTTGGCTCCCCTATGTCTGATACAGATATTTCAATCAGAGAGAATCCTTGAGAAATGATACTGGCATTGTTGATCAGCTTTTATAGTCATGATTGTCAGCTCCATATCTTAGTACTCAATTAAAAAAAAAAACAAAAACAAACCCACAGAAGTTACACTTTCTCTGCCTTTCTATTTTAAAGGTAATTAAAAGATATTTATTTTTTGCATCAATATGTTATGTTGAATGATACTTAAATAGGGTAAAATGTCAGTTACTCCTTAAAAACACTGGAATTGTTGGCAATTTTTATTTTTTTAAGAATTAAACTGTGATACAGCCTGCTAGAAGAGAGCATGGCTCTGTTCAGTTGATGTAAGTTCTCCTTCCCATTTTTCCGGACACCTGTAATGTTCCCCAGAATCCCAAAGGAAAGATATGCAAAGGCTTAACAAAAAAGGCCTGTTAAGTGAGGGAGAATTAGTGTATAATGCTACTTTTTCTGGGATTTCAAGGGTTCATTTAGAGGCTGATAACTGGGTACTTAAACCACGGTCACAAGGACCTATGAATGTGTTGGAAATAAAAATCAAAAGTCCTGGACCTTTGGCCGAAGCAAGAAAATCACATCAGGTTTTCCACAAAGGTTTTAGCAAATTAATTTTCTTGTTATGTGTTGGAACAGGCAGCTTCTCGGAGAGGGATTTTCAACAGAATTTGCAAGGCTTCTCCTGCCAGTTTTAGAAGTAAAACTGCCTGTTTTCTGCCAGTTGGTGAAGCAGGGCTCTGTGTGTGTGTGTATAAATATGTGTGGCTCTATATGAGTGTGCTTGAGTGTGCATTTATCTCTCTATGTATATATTTACATATTTAAAAAGGAGTGTGCAAAGCCCAGGAACTTAGAGAAAGCTGGGAAGTACCAGTTGGTGACTGTCACGCAGCAGCTTGCTGTGATGGTTTTAATTTCTCAGGAAGTAACCCAAAAGGGCTACAGGAGAATCGTAACGAGAGGTGGCCTTCTGAGAGATGTCTTGAAAAACACTCTGCACGGGTTCTCGGCTCCACCTCTTACTCCATGGTTAGTTTGACAAAGATCAACTCACTGATCAGTTAAAAAGGTCTCCGTGGATGAGAATAGAGGGTTTTATCATTTACTACAAGCAGATGCAGGCGAAGGCTGAGGACAGGCAGTGAGCACAGAGTTACTTCGTCTCCAGGAAAGCGGGGTCATCAACAGTTACATCCTCAGTCTCCTGAGGGAAGTACAAAGTAGGTGTTTTAAATCCATTCTTTTCAATGCTGTCTACTTCTAGGTGGATATGTCATGCTGTGCTTTGAAGGTGTAACCCACCCGTTAGGTGTTACATCAACTGCTTGTACATGTAAGAGACCTCTTCCAGGAGAACAGCTCTGCAGGCAATGAGCTTCTTGGAGGTTCTGTGGGTGCAACACCTCAACGTGATTATCTGCCCAGCAGATTTAGCCCAGGAATGGCAGGAATGGTTGGAGGACCTGGGAAGGATGAATAAGTCACTCCAAAGAAAAAGGCATTCAGTGAAGAGAATGGAAGATGTCTACAAAAATTTCCACAAGACTTTTTCTTCAGACCCCTTTGTGGTGCCTTTTGTAGTGTCATCCTGCGCCTTTACCACTGCTCAGAAGACAGCTGGAGGAATAAATGAATATAGCTGTTCCACAACAGCTAAACCCATGGAATGGTTTGGGTTGGAAGGGACTTAAAAGATCATCCAGTTCCAACCCCCTGCCGTGGTCAGGGACACCTCCCACTAGAGCAGGTTGCTCAAAGCCCTGTCCAACCTGGCCTTGAACATCTCCAGGGATGGGGCTTCCACAACTTCAATGCTGATCGTCTAAATTGTGATCTATCTGCTGGGTTAATATTCTGCCAGTCCATTATGTCAAACTGGTTTCATGCAGAGGAAGACCAGCAAGTGAGAGGGCAGGAGCCTGCACCCAGAACTGGAGGAGCTGGGTTTGGTGAGGAAGCCCTACCTCTGTCAGTACCCGCCAAGGACGACTGGAGGTCCATGCTGCTGGCTCCAGGGTTTGAATGGAAATTGCAAAATTGACTTTGTTTCAACAGGAGCCGAATGTCATCTTACAACTATTAAATGTGTACAAAAGACTATCTGCAGGTGGGCAGACCTTTGAGAGATGGTAGAGCTGAAGGTTGGTTTTCATTACCCTGAGAACAGGGACCCCTGCTTTCAAGAGTTTATGAAACTTGGCAGCACTTCAGATGTTGGCTGCAAGCGACATGAATTTTTGTTTCAAAATAAATAACCCTGCAAGACGAACGCCCTTATTCTTCAAATACACACACGTGTTTGTCCCTGTATCTTCAAGTGTAGGAATAGTTCTTTCAGGATATAAATAAGGAGGACTCTGCTGCATAAAGCTAACCAAGCTTGAAAGTGTTTTCACCGGTAGGGCCTGAAAGCACTCGTGAAATTTATTGTTGAGGCTGTTGGTTTATGGAGTACAGCTTTAAAACTGAAAAAAATAAAATAAATAGATCCATGTCTGGCAGTTTCTGAAATAGCCTAAGTGACAACATGAACTTTTGGACTCTTCTGCTCCTTCTAAAATCAACAGGAGCTGTTATCAATGAAGGAAGGTGAAGTGCAATATATTTTGTCCAATAATTTGTTACAGCTGAACAGTGATATTTCAGAGTGTTCATCCATAAATTCTGTTTATTGGATCACGGTGAATTAGCTGATCTGGTGGTATGTGTGTTGAAGAGGAAGTGCTAATAATATGATACAGAAGAAAAACTGTGTGGTGTGGTGGGGTGCATACTGTGATAAGCGTTAAAAAAATTCTGTACTACTGCATTCTGATCCATTTTTGGAAGGGTTTTTTAATTTTCTGGAGTTTTTTTACAGAAAGCAAGTACACACACTAATAAGATTCCTTTCTGATTCAGAGGGAAAACATCCCTTGTCTCCTTTTTCTACCATTAGCTCAAGTTTGCTACTGAATGAATCAACTGAAACTGCTGTCCTTAAAAAAATGTAAGAAGTGGTGGCTCTATTTTGAAGCAGCGTTT